TTATGGAAAAATCAAAAGACAGCCGCAGAAAAGGGTACTAATCGTGGCATGGGGAATCAACAAACTCTGGATCCCGATCGCCATTCGGCAGGTAACTTCTACTTCCCAATGCACTCACTACCGTTCGAGACATCGGAAGTGGGGGACTCGTGTTGGGATATTGGGCCGCAGGCCCAATACCTGGATCTAAGGCCCAAAATATCCATTTCGTTAGGCGGGCCCATCAACCAGAAACTCAACCAGCTCTTGGGAAAATATGTATCGAACGAGGTTCGGATCGATTAACATACTTGGGCTAAATCATTAATGAGCCAAATCATTAATGGGTCAGATCAATAATGACTCCAGATCAGATGTACCGAACGGGGATCGGACTAATCAGTGAACTCGAGCCAAACCAATGATGATTCCAGCAGGATTCACTGCCCGTTCGGGCAGCGGGTAGCCAACAAGTGGCAGGGGCATTTATTGCTAAAGTATGACGGCAGCTAGTGGGAGCATGGGTTCCAAGTGGCTAGATAAAGCAACCAATCAACATGAAGTATCCCATACCCTCCATTAGTATAAATAGAAGGATTAGTTTCATTGTAAAGGGTTAGCATTTTAATACTCAAGCCCTAGAATAGCCTTATTACTCTTGTTTCTTATATTAAGCATCAACCCGACGTGCCGTTCGGGAAATTTCCTTGTAATCAAACAAGTTAATTAATACAAGTGGGTTTTTGAGCATTCGATTATCCATCTTTTATATTTCTTTTACATACCAAATTATCATCCATTTCCTGATATATCCGAAGTCTGTGTTGGGCTTTTGGATCGACAGGATTAAACCTCAACAGTGACCATTTTTATAAAAGGATAAAAATGTGACTAAGGATGTCATATATTTGGAAAAACATGATGTCATTGTGAAATTTTTATGTCACTGCCAAATTCTTACGTTACTTTTGAATGTCACTACGAAATTTTAAGTTACTACCATAATTTTATGTCACTTTTTGATTGTCACTACCGACTTTTATGTCACTTTCGGAAATCAATGCTGCCATGAAACGTGTCAATGTGTTCGCCGGATACTTTCTCGGTGACTTTTTTTGGCATAACAATAGCCATCCCACACCCCACCGACACCACCATCCCATCACTACTCCTTGCTCACCTTCAATCAAAATCATAACAACAATTCTCAAGCGACATCCTGTGAAATTCCTAATCCGATTTCAAAGTGTCTGTCATTGTAGGAAGAATCTCATCGGACTCCATCTTTCATCATCAAACATCTCGACCATTCTCACAGACACAAACACACCCCTGTCTTATTTTTGAACAAAATGCCAATGGTGATGCCTTAAAGTTGTATTGTCTCGACCACGATATGAAACTCCGCCATGTTCAGAATGGTCCTGAGCGACGACATGTTTCCTCACCAACGTCAACTAGTTATCTCTTATGTGAGCTTCGGATCTGCTATGCCAGCCAAAGTGCCAAATTTTCTTCGCCGGCGGTTGCTCCACGCCTCTCCCACAATCGAACATAAATAGAAGAAATAGAAGGGAGGACTCTTCGGGGGTATGGCGATGGAGAGCTTTGTCAATCAGTGAAGGGGATTACAGAGAAGGCGCATGGAAAGAGAGAAAATTGACGGAAGGCGCAGAGGATTGGGGGGAGATAGGATTGGGGGAAGATAGAAGGCGTAGATCGATGGATTCGGCAAACGAGTAAGGTCACTTTTGTGTCTAGACAAAAAGTAGTCATTTTTTTGTCCATCTAAACTCTCTAAGCGATATTTTTGTAATTTTTTCATTATTCAAGCTACACCATGAAAGGAAAAATGGGAGAAAAGTTCATGATGAGAAGCTCTTCAGTTCATCTTATTCACTCATTATTATTACTAAATGCATATTTAAAAAATGTTAACATAAAAAAGGACTCAAACCGTACGAAACTAGCATTGTGAACCACTACAGTATCCTCAATTTCAGCTGAAAATTAACAAGGTGGGGGCGAAATTGAAGAAACTAAGTACATCCGAGCAAAAAATGGAAGAAACACAGAGATAGTTGCTTAATACCTTCTTGAGTTGGTCGGTTTGCCCTAATTTAAACCTAGCGTCGTTAGAGAGACGACCGATATATCTCTCTGCTTTAATGAGGATGATGAAAACTTGTGTCGCCAGAGATTTGTTCGTGTATGAATTCAAATGCTGGGGGCTAGGGTTTTTTCAAACTCGGATTTCGTGAGCAGCATAGGAGAAAGGAATTGGCCGGTGAGGTTAAAATAAGAGATGTCTGAAAACGCGAATCGGAAAAACGTGGAGGGACAAATAAGGGAGGAAAAATAGGGGAGGGAATGAAAAAGTTCCGGCCAAAAGTGTAGTATGACGTGTCATTTAGTATCACTATTGTGTACTGATATCATAGTATATATCATGAGCTAATGATACTTTTATGCTAAATCTAGGTAATGTCATTTCTGAGTGACAACAATTTAAAAAGTGTTACTACAAACAAATTTTCAACTAATGTAATAAATTGGTTTCATCATCCTTCATAAGGAATTAATAGAAACCTATAGTGTCTAACCACAAAAAAGAAATACTTTAAATCCTCAGTTTGACCAGCTACTAAGAAAAAATTATCAATATCATCGATTTGATCAGCCACAACAAAGAAGATTCAATTGAGGGCTATCTTTCTTTCATAAAATGGCGTGGTTCGGGAGGAAAGCGAATAATTATGACTCAAGAGTAACTAATGTTTGACGTTAACCTCTCAAACCAATCAAACAAAACAAACATTGCCAACCACCACCAACAAATATTCAACACTCACATCCGAGATTACCCAACCCCTAAACACAACTAGGAAGGAACCATATAAAATAGGGAAAAGGGTCAAATAGGCCTTTGAGCTAACTTAAAAAGTGCAAATCACTCCTTATATAAGAGGCTCTGTCCGGTCGTCGCCATTTCGGGCAGTTCCCGGTGGAATTTTTTGATGAAATTTTTTGAACATCTTCTTCATTAAGTCTAGTTTACCCATATCAAATTTCAGATAAAAATTGAACCGGGAAAATAAAAATACACTTGTTCTAACAATTTTCAGATAAAAAATACACTTGATCCGTTGATCGACCGGACAATATTAAAAGAGTTAAGAACTATGGAGTAACTCTTAAAGAAAACAAATGTTCAAATTGCTCTACATAGGAGCAAAAACTTTTTGAAATTTTAAAATAAGAATATCATGTTTTTTATTCGCTTAATAGGAGTAATCTGTCAAGTTTGAAAGAAATACCATGTTTTAAAGCATACTAATGTCAAACTTGGTAGAAATTTACTACTATTCAGACGATAAAAAACATGACAGCCTTATTTTGAAATTCTCTAAAAAAACACTTGACTCAGAAAAGCATCAAAGTATGAGATCATCCGTATTATTCATCAATAAATCACTATAAATTGATCGGGGAATCTTAAATTAAGAGAGGAATTCTTCTTACTTTTATTTTCTGCCCTCTGAAAACAAAATTTCCCAATTCCCATGAATTAAAGATCAAAACCAATTTCACGTCCGTGGGAGTGGGCCATACAGTCCCCTAATGGCCACGCATTTGTTTGGCTTTTGGGCGGTTGGGGCACCGGAAGTACAGACAATTAAAAGCGAAATAAAAACAGAACCCACACGGCCACACTCAAAGAGAGTGGTACGCGTACCCTAATGGCCCTCCCAAATGGGGCCTTAATTTATTTTACACAAAAAAGAGGGGTCTTATTAATTTTTTTAAAAGGAAACTAGTTATATTACAAGAGGGATAATCAAGTATAATGCCAAATATAGCGACCAGGCATAGAACCAGCAGCCCGTGCAAGATTATGGGCTATCCGATTCACAAACCGCTTCACATGAGAAAAAGAAATACTGATGAAAGTAGAAGAAACATGCTGAGGAGTCATCAGCACCGAAATTGATTCTGCTAATAATCTGAATAGAATCTGATTTCACATCAATATTATCCCAACTAAAAAGCTCCATCCAACTTAGCGCCTACTTGGGGCCTCATTAATCACTGGAATGCGGAGTCACTTCTTAGGGAGGGCGTAAAATACTAAAATGTAATTGTGGAAGTTAATCCACCTTTTCTTATTGCCCTCCCAATCACGTTTTCCCACGTGGTCTCTATTACAAGTACAACGTTTCTTTTTTTTTTTTTTTTAAATTAAATAAATATTGTTGGAAAATGTCATGTGTAGTTGTGTACAAGTTTTTGTGTATACATTCGTGTACATGTCTTATTATTGTGGCCTCGTGGTAAGTCATTTGTATCACACATAATTCATTTAAAGAAGGTAAAAACTTTCCGTAATTTTAATTTATATTTAGTGTATGAATAGACTTAATGCGTGAAATGTTTACAAATACCGTGTGCAATAAACATGAGTTAATATTGTTTTTCCACGTTAAGAAAGAAAAAACTCGATATACATAAAAAGTGTACGTACATTATACATTTTTTATGCACATCCTCCCTAGTTTTGTATGTGTATACAAGCAGCTCATTTTAAAAAATTCAACAATTGCATATGAGCACACACAAGTGTATAAAAAGTGTACACTTTCTAAGTAATAAACCTAGTTGACTTTAGTTCCTTTAGTTCTTCCTTACCACATATGCATATTTATTTCTCTTTGACGGTGAGCGTATCTCAACTGGTAGATATAAACAAAAGGGGAAGTCTCAGGTTCGAATCGTGACAACTACGATGAAAGGTTACTATATAAAAATGCAAAGGACATCTGCAAATACTTGCGCCAGAGCCCACTCGCTATCTGCAATTTATATCTTCTCAATTAACTGTCCAATCGGTGTTGATGCTTCATGGATGTGGTTTTTTATTCTCCTTTACGTCAGTTTCATACGGTTTTCAGTAGCTAAGACAAAAACCTTGCCTATTTATGGCTAGTTTCTTTTTTAATAAAAAACTCCTTTTATATCCTCAACAAAAACCTTGCCTATTTATGGCTAGTTTATTTTTTTAATAAAAAACTCATTTTATATCCTCAACAAAAACCTTGCCTATTTATAGCTATTCTTTCTGGTAGTTGGGTTGGGTTTAGATTGTGATGGGGAATTGCGCTGCTTTTTCAGCAAGAGTTGGCGCTGCTCTGAGCTCCCACAACCTTTCTGGTAATTCCCTTACTCTGTAAATTATGTGTTACGGAAATCCTTCAGCTCTATTTTTGGGAAGAATAATACAATTGGCGGAGTTTGATAGAACCGGATCCTTAAAATATACGGCAAAAGGGTCAGATAGGATGTTTTTACTTGGACTGTAATTTGCTGGTCCGGTCTAGTCTGGTCTGGTCTGGTTTGTTCTGAACTGGTCTGGTCTGGTCTGGTCTGGTTTCTTTGTATTTTTATAACTATCCAAGTCTGGTCTGGTCTGGTCTGGTCTGAACTGGTATGGTATGGTCTGGTCTGGTCTAGGACGAATTACAGTCCAAGTAAAAACATCCCAGGTCATCGAACTTATTTAAAAAGGTTAAATAAGGCCTTATATAGGAGGCTATGTCCGGCTGTCATTATTTGGGGCGACTCCCGGTAGAATTTTTTGATGAATTTTTTTGACCATCCTATTAAATAAGTGTAGTTCACTCATACCAAATTTCAGCTAAAAATTCAATCGGGAAGACATACAAATTAATTTTTGAAGATAACTGCGCAGTTAAAAGCGCAGTTATCTTCAAGAATTAATTTGCATGCCTCCCCGGTTGAATTTTTAGCTGAAATTTGGTATGAGTAAACTAGACTTAATGAATAAGATCGACAAAAAAAATCATCAAAAAATTTCACCGAAAACCGCCCAAATGACGACGGCCGGAGAGAGCCTCCTATATAAGACCTTATTTGACCTTTTTATGTAAGTTCAAGGAACTATTTGACTCTTTTCCCAAATATACAGAGTATGTCCAAAATAAATAGACTTGTTAAATAGACTTGTACAATATGATCAGTATAAATTAGAGTGTGATACATATATATACTTAGTTTTAATGTCGTCTATATGTTAATGAAAATTATTATTCTTAATTAAAAATAGACGTAATCTCGCACTAATGAAAAAACTGCCCCCCTAAAACACAAATCCTAGTTCCGTTCTCGAATATCCCGAAAGGCTCTTGTTAAAAAGACCAAAAGCTCTGTTTAAGGGCCGAGCCAGAAAAACGGTTTAGGGGATCAAAATTCAATTTGATAATAGTGGATCGTTTTTAAGCAATATCCGAGTTGAATATTTCATATGCAGTTTAGATAAGTAACAATAAGATAGATTGTCATTGTTCTATTTCTGAGTTGTGTCACATATGCATTGAGTGAATCATACCTTGTTTTTTAAATTTGGGAAAATAATCCATAGTATGCATCAAATTTTACCGATTTTACGTTTAGATAGTGCTGATTTTTCAGAAGTCATAACTTTTTACGCGTAATGAATTACGGGGGCCATAATATATCAAATCAAAAATATTTCAGAGCTCTATACTCTCAAACTTTCAGCGAGTCTGCTGACCACCCTGATCCCCTTGGCTCCGTCCCTAGCTCTAGCTAAGAAGACCAAAGTCTTTGAGCTATAATAATAATACTCCCTCCAATCCTATTATATATTCCATTTCACTTTGGCACAAAATTTAAGAAAAGTGGGTATTGTGTGATGGAGAGTCGTGCAGAGGAAAGAGAAACGTGTAAGAAATATTGTGAACCACAAATTCTTTACCAAAAAAGGAAAATGGAAGTTTAATTGGAACGAATTAAAAAGGAAAGTTGGAAGATATAATATGAACGGAGGAAGTAATAGAAGACTCGTATAAAAAATGAAAAAAACGGTGGACGTAGCTCAACTGGTAGCGAGGGAGTGCCACAAGGGTTAGGTCCTGGATTCGAATCCCGACAACTGCGATGAGAAGTTACAATGCTAAAAAAATGCATAGGACTTCTGCAAGTATCGAGGACAGAGCATCACTCTTTATCTGTCAAATTGAGATTATAGTCCAACTTACATCCTCCCAACGTACCGTCCGGTCGGGGTTGGGGGGCCCTAAGGGATGAGTGTCATTTTTTTTTGCGTATAAAGAATGAAAAAACGAACTTTTTCTTATCTATCTATATGAATATAATATTAATTTATATCGCATCAGCATTATATATGATGCAACCACAATAGCTGGAATAACCGTTGCCATAAGTACCTCACCCACAATATAGTGATGTACTGATGTGGCTTTCGTTTTTTTATACTCCATAGTAATATAAACGGGAATTTGCACTCGTAACATTTGAACAAATGATTTTTTGCAGTAATTTGGGGTGAAATCAAATTTTTTGTTGCAAAAATTAATGCCCCATTTATGTCTGGCATTTCAAAGTTCTTTATACAGACCTCATCACGTAGACTGCATCCTGATGTGTCTGTGAATTCAAACCATTTGAGAATTTGATTTTTTTATTCATTTTATTCGTGTAATCAGAATGTCAATTTTTAATTATATTCTAATTTCGTCGGTTAAAAAAATTATATTCTAATTTGGAGTTTGCAACTTTGAAAAGATTTTAATGTAGTTTCTAAATATGTAAATTTTAATTATTAAAAATTGAATTAAATATAAATAAAGCGTTTTAACTTTTATTAATAATTGATCAAAAAATGTTGACTTTGCAAAATAATTTGAATAGACCGAGTATATCTGTTTGGTGGCCTATTTGCTGTTTAGGCTCCCTATTGTAGCTATAAGTGGGTGTTATCTTATGACTTTTTTTTTTGGCAAAATCTCATTACTTCTTATTCAATTCGTTGTTTAATTTAATTGCATTAGAAGTTTCTGGTTTACTATTAGAAAAGTTCAAATAAACTTGAAAGGATTCTTTCCAGATTAAAATGGTATAAGGACACAACTATTACCTCTAATCTTTTGAAACATGAATTTTATCATTGAGGGCCAAACATAAATTTACTATTAACGCCTGAAATGTTTGATAAAAAGATGTTTTTAAAAAGATAGATTGTAAAAAGATGTTTAATAATTTAGTTGTTTGGTCCAATTAGTAGGAAATGTCATATATCAAAACACCATTTGCGGTGTTTCTGTTTCAGCAGTTTCGTCCAAAAACGTTAGGATCAAACGGTTATTTACCAAACGATGTTTTCACTAATTAAAACATTAAAAAGGGTCAAACGACTACTCCCTCCGTCTCATAAAATTCCTCCCACTTTCCCTTTTGGGCCGTCCCAAAAAATTCTTCTCACTTACCATTTTTGGACATTCATTTCACATTTTTCTTACACAACTACAACCACACATTTCCACTTTATTCCACTATCTTAATATCCGTGCCAAGAATATGGAAAGTGAGAAGAATTTTCTGGGACGGAGGGAGTACTTTTTAGCTGATGGAACCTCATTTTCCAAATCAATAATTCTTGGTGTACACCTTCTTATACACATCGGTACACCCTCGTGTCTGTGAGAGTTTTTTTTATCTGTGAATCCCATTGTACAAACAAAACAAGCCTATTTTTGTTTATGGACTGAGATTCACAGACAAAAAAAACTTTCACGGACACGAGTGTATTTGTTTTCCAAATACCCCAAAATATGTGGGTATACGACCTGAAAGATTCCTTTTGTGCTTCTGATAAACAGCTTCTCGTGAAGCCTCGCAAGTTAAAAAAAGAGGACAGTCAAACGCGCCGCCATCCTCAAGCCAACCTTCATCATCTAGTGGAAACAACAGCGTGGGTAGCCTTCCCGCACCAAGATCAGAAGAAGACATATTACAATCCCCAAATGTGAAAGCCTTCATGTTTCTTGAGCTGAAGAACGCCACCAGAAATTTCAGAGCGGACGGGCTTCTAGGGGAAGGAGGATTTGGGTGTGTGTACAAAGGATGGATTGATGAACATACTCTTACCCCTACAAAACCTGGATCTGGTATTGTCATTGCCGTTAAGAAGTTGAAACCCGAAGGCTTTCAAGGCCATAAAGAATGGCTGGTATGTATTTCATCTAGGAAAAGAGCAAATAAGACCACGTACTAACAAAAAAGGTCAAATAAGCTTAAATAGGTGGTTATGTCCGACCGTCGCCATTTGGGGTCGTTCCCGGTGGAATTTTTTGAGAATTTTTTGAGAATCTTATTTATTAAGTCTAGTTTACTCATACCACATTTCAGCTAACAATTCAATTGGGAAGACATTTAAATAAATTCTTGAAGATTACTGCGCTTTTAACTGCGCAGTTATCTTCAAGAATTCATTTGAATGCCTTCCCGATTGAAGTTTTAGCTAAAATTTGGTATGAGTAAACTAGATTTAATGAATAATATGCTCCAAAAACTATATCAAAAATTTCAATCGGGAACCACCCCAAATGACGACGGTCGGACACAGCCTCCTATATAAGGGCTTATTTGACCATTTTTGGTTAGTACTTGGGCTTATTTGCCCTTTTTTCCTTTCACCTATAATTCCCCTTACACATTCACATCATTCTCATATATTAGTTTGTTTGACATTTTGACTCCGACTCTGATATCACGTTAAAATTTAATATTCATATATAAAAAATGGCTTTCAAGATGAACATTTTTTTTCATATATAAAAGAAAATCATGTAGGAGGATGGCATGCATAACCTTATATATCAGCTTATTAATTCATATTTTGGCCTTGTTTGGCAATCAGCTGTTAGCTTTTAGCTGACTATGTCAGCTATTTGATCACAGCTGGTTGTGTTAGTTGTTTTGTTTGGCTGGTTATGTTTGCTTGTTGTTAATAAATGTTTGATAAAATTAGCTGTTATAAAAAAGTTGCTTGAGTGTAAAAAGATGTATAAGGACACGAGTGTATATATAATATTTGAGTAATGCTAATATTTACTCCCTCCGTCCCTTATAACTTTGCCAACTTTCCTTTTTTGGTTGTCCCAAAAACTTTGCCATTTTCCATTTTAGTTAATCAATTTGTGGCTCTCATTATTTCTCTCTCCTCTGCACAAATATCTACCACACAGTTTTTACTTTATTATTCTACGTGCCGGTCAAACTTGGCAAACCTTTAAGGGACGGAGGGAGTATAATGGATAAACTATATTTTATTTGCAAAATAAATTATGTAAGAAAACAATATTTTATTTGAAATGTAAAAAGAATAAATTAAATTTTAAAATAAAAGTATAATAAATCTAAAGAGAAAACTGTCAAATAGGTTGTCCCTCTACTTTTAACAAAAAGTCAATTGAGTCCATGTACTTTTTTCCGAGTCAATTAAGTCCACCAACTATCAAAAAATGACCAAATCAGCTTTTTAGTAGGTAATCAACCGGTTACCCAGTTAAATGCCTACATGGACGTTCGAGCTGGCATTTTTTACTGTTTTCCTATTTTTTTTTTTATTTTTGGGAAAACTGTCAAATAGGTCCACGTACTTTTAACAAAAAGTCAATTGAGTCCATGTACTTTTTTCCGAGTCAATTAAGTCCACCGACTATATGAGATTGGAAAATTTTAAACTAAATGGCCATGTCTTTTACCCGTGCGATGCATGTGGTATCTAGAATAGAATAAAAATTTATTTGAAATTATATTTTATTACGATGACACATGATGTGTATTTTTATCAAATATAAAAAGATAATAGAGTTTATATGTTGTAGCTTTGGGCATTATGGAACAGAGTATATAATAGTGGCTATATGAAAATAGATTTTGGCTCATACGAAAATTTGCAAGTAAAAATTAAAATAAATTATAAGATGTAAAAATAAACTCTATGTTGCATTGGAATCAATAATAATATAATTAAAAGTAGGTCTCATAAACTATAAAACAGAAGAACCACACTACGTAAATGTTTATACCTTACAAAAAGTATCATATCATTTCAAAAACTTCTTTATAGACCACGTTATTAATGATGTTAAAACTCGTCCCTTCTCATCACATATAAGAATTTTCAACCACTTCTTGAAAGGAATTCGACTATATGACTGTACCAAACATCAAACTAATTCCTCACAAGCACTTTAACAAACACCTTGTAGGCAGGCAAGTAGAAAATCAGAAACATAAAAAGAAATTCACAAGCACCAAACTGCCTAATATACACAACAATAATATATTTGCAAAATTAGCTCACTCAGACCATCAATACCCAACAGAAATCACTAGCATATCAAGCTTTATAAATCAATATAAATTTAATATACACAATCTTAAAAAAAACTTTTTTTGTTCAAATAAAGTGTGAATATATAGGAGTAATTCCCATTTTTCGGAATACTTGAGCTGGAGTCTTGTGAAGGAAGATCTTTTTTCGTAACCCTTTCTCTGATTTTGGTCTCTATTGTTTTCTGATATGTATTTAAATAAGTATCAGGCAACTCAAGAGGACACAGATGCAAATTAATTGAAAAATACAAAGATTGAAAAAACAGAAGAAGCAAAATCAAGAAAGAAGGTTACTCACATTTGTTTGTAGTTGGCGAAGAAGAAAGATGGATGAGAAAAAGATGGAAGATGGGATACCAGGGTATAACCAAATAACATTTTTGGCTTTTTAATCTGGTCAACCAGCTATTGTTAGTCAAACCAGCTAAAAAATGGTTGATCAACCATTTTCCAAACAAACCCCTTTTTCGATTCGAGGAAATATAACGCAAATACTTAAATTTGTCACAACACATAAAGGTGTTTTTTAAGATTTCTGTAAATTTTATAACATTTATGAAGTAATACAAAGAAAAAAATAAATAGTTAATTACAAATCTTTTGTACCAACATTGGAACTAATTTTACGAGGTCCTAATTAATCAAACGTTTTAATTTCTTGACCATTTCCCTTCCTTTCAATTCAATGCTTTATACACTTTCTCCCTTTGTAAACAAAATACACTTTCTCCCTATTTTCTTTCCCTTGTAAGTTGCAACTTTCATAACCAAAAGGTATATTTAGATCTCAGAGAATAATAGGGAAGTTAGTTTCATAGATTTGATTTTACGTACCTTGGAAATGGAATAAGCAAACTGAAATATAATCAATTTTGTATTCTATGTTATTTGCAATCTTCACACATTTAAATTTGAGTTTTTTTCCTTAGTACAGTCGAAATAAAAGATATAGACGGAAATATGAGTCAAATTCTTATGAACATATGTACAATAGTGGTTATTTTAAATATAAACCTGAACATGATTATTGGGTAATAACTAAATTTACTATTATAATCACTATTTTAAAAATTAATTTTGTAAATAGGCCCTACATACCTCACATATTTCAAGAAAATGACCACTTAATGTTATTGGAATCATTTTGTACAAAATTGTCAAGAATCAAGAATATATATTTCTTCATGAAAACAGTGCTGGACGTTGCCGAACACAAGAAAACCTGATTTTTTTTAAAAGAAATTCCTTGAAGCAAAGGGAGTGTGATTAATTAACATTGTGCTTTCCTCTTAATTAATTAGTAAATGGATGCCTTGTAGACCGAAGTTAATTACCTCGGGCAACTTCATCATCCAAACCTGGTTAAACTAATTGGATACTGCTTAGATGGTGACAATCGGCTCTTGGTTTATGAGTTCTTGTCTAAAGGCAGCTTGGAGAATCATCTTTTCCGAAGTAAGTTAGTTTCCCTCATAACTGTCCTTCAAATTCCTCTTATTAGTTGTTAACAATTCATTACTATGTACCCCCTCCGTCCCGAAAAGGTTGGCCACAGTTGACTTTCACGTGGATTAATAAAATAAAACAGTGTGGTTGAAATTTGTGTAGAGAAGAGAGAATTAATTTTATTCACATATTCCTTAATTTAAATGGAAATGTCAAATCTTTTTGGGACATCCAAAAAAGGAATTTGGCCAACCTTTTCGGGACGGAGGAAGTATTATATACTAGTGTCATGCAAAGTACAACAATTGCTTTTAAAAACGCTATCATGTTGATTTAATTTGTTCAAGTGTTTCACATCAAGAAATTATAAAGATTAAAAGTCATATACTTCGTATTATATATGTATATGTATGTAGAATTATTGATATCCCAGTACCACAAAAGCTCCAACCTACGGTGAGGTAAGGAGGTCGGATGTATTGGTCTAACTCTTGTACTAAAGTATAGAGAGACGGTTTCCGAATGACCCATGAAGAAAATTGTGTCGAAAATTTCATGCTGCTTCATAACTAATTAAGAAGCGTAGACAGTTTAATGAGTCATTTTTCTTTATTTTCATTATATCACCAAACCAAAAAATAGTGAATCTTCGTTCTCTTTTAATTGCAATATTGGACTTTTTGCATTATTCACATATTCTACTTTGTCTGTATTTTATTAACAAATGTTTTATTCATTAAATTTTTAAAAATATTATTAAATTCTTTTCATTCTAAATTTTCAAAATATGAATTTTTGATTTTTTTTACTAATAGGGAACGAAAGATATTAATGGTCAAACTTGTGTGTTGATAAACATGAAATGTTGACATTTGCCATGGAACGAAGGAAGTACTATGTACGTACTGATGTACATAATATAAAGATTAAATCGGAGATAGACTTTCTTAAATCCCTTTAATTTCTTATTGTAACAGACGTCTGAACATCCTAAAATGCTCAATAGTACTTAGAAAAAATTGTCCTAAATAGGACTAAAACATGCTAAAAATTCCACAATAGGACTAAATATTTTATATTCTCTAAATAAGACTCCCTATTACCATTCTACCCCTAGTCTAAATCCCTAAATTCTCCCTGGAGGATGCTATGTTGCGGTACTGGAGTATTGTTGCCGCACACTCCTGGAACCTGGAGGATGACATCAATGGACAATGTTATGGGAATTCAGGATGGCTGAGAGCACTGGAGGCTATTTATGTCCAAACACAAATATTTACTCCTATTTAGGAAATTTGAAACAATAGGTCATGTTTTTGCATTTACCTCAAGTTTTACTCCCATTTTGGAAATTCTCTCTATTACTTACTAGTACTACCCCCGTCCCGCTAGAAGGTTCCTGTCCACTATTCATATGGTCAACTTAAATCATTTTTAACCTTTTGCTTTATATATTAAATTTTAATCATATTTACATTTTTTATCAGGCTTTGTAGCAGTTTTAGTGTAATTTCTGAATATGTAAATTTTATTTATTAAAATAATCAGAGTGTGAACGTGAATTAAGTTGCTTTATCATCAGTCAAGCATCTTAAACCGTTACGGGAACCCTCTAGCGGGACGGAGGGAGTAAGATTTTATATATAATGCGTTTGGATCTAAAATGGCTGATTAACCATAGTCTTATATATGGACAATAATTTATAGGGAGCTCACAGCCATTGAGTTGGGCCATGAGAATTAAGGTAGCTATTGGTGCAGCTAGAGGCCTTGCTTTTCTGCATAATGCTAAAGAGCCTGTTATATATCGTGATTTTAAGGCAGCTAATATTCTTCTTGATACGGTATGTTACTTATCCAACTAAATGGTAGGGCTGTTTCATACAGTTAGATAATTAAATTAAGAGCCCGTTTGGTTACCTTTTTTTGGCTTATTAGGCTTATCAGACAACTTTTTCAACAAACACGTAACTTTTGATTTCGCACGCTGAATTTTGTAATAAACAGAAAAAGTAAGGTTGAAGTTACTTTTATGGCTGCATTGGTTGATGTTACTGTAGATGATCATTTTAGCTATTTTTCATATAATTTTTTATGTAATTTAATAATAACAAATATTTTATATATAATTTTTTCATTAATCCAGAATCAGCCGATACAACCACTTCAACTAGAACTTCATAAATTTCAGCAGAATCAGCCAATGCAGCCAATTTCAGTGTTACCAAACGGGCTCTAAGTGAGACATTATTGTTATGTCACATTCCACTAAACTAAGACTAATGTTTCATTTTTAAGTAATACTACAATTATATTCATCAATTTGTTTCTTGATTTGGATCAGGTGGTGCTTTGTTATCAATAACCATACGAGTTTAAAATGATAGCCATGGGCCGTGGCCCATAAAGCATATATTAGACTCTTTTTCTTAATAATAATAATAATTATTATTGTACCTAAATAATATGTAGCATGTTAAATGAAATTTTGCTTCAATACCATTTTTGTGTTGATTTTTAGATAGAATGTGGTCTTTTACTACATTCAAACCTCTTCAAATAACAAAAATACTTTATTTATCAATTGATTCTTAGCTTGACTCGATCGATCAATAAAGTCTGCACATGTGTATTACTACGTATTACTTCATTAGAAACCTTACCGAATATTCCCTCCGTCCCGCAAAATCTTTCCCGATTTGATTTGGATGAGAGTTTTAAAAAATGAAAATAAACTGTAAATGTATGATTGTGATCGAGTAAGAACAAAGGTAAATGAATGATAGTCACACAAAACTTTACAAAAAAACCAGTATGAAAAATAAACACAAGTTTAAAGAAAGAGTATAGTGAAGTAACTTTGCACATATATGAGACTACCCTCAGGTCTACACATCTCTCTAATACTTGCATCAATTTGGAATGCTTAGAAAGCATATGCATTTCAATATTTTTCACATTGATTACTTTGAAAAAGACACGAATATGAAAATATATTTTCTTTAAACTCCCTATGGGTGTGAAGCCAAGATGATAAATATATCGATATTTTAATAATATGTTAGAAATTTAGAATTGGCAGTATATAAATTTAATTACTCCTCTAACAGATCAATTCCTAATTCATTTTCAACAATTGAACTACTACTAGTATCTTGTCTTGGATGTTACAATACTTTGCTGCTAGTACTCTTGTCTTGGATGTTACAATACTTTGACCTCATTGTTGTAGGAATTCAATGCCAAGCTGTCAGATTTCGGTTTAGCTAAGGCTGGCCCGACGGGTGACCGCACTCATGTGAGTACTCGAGTGATGGGTACCCAGGGCTATGCTGCACCAGAATATATTGCTACAGGTCTGTTCTTCCTCGTAGTCTATTTGGCTTAAATTGCAGAGTCATTATCTTTTAGGACATGTTCATAAACATCTTTTAGGACATGTTCATAAACATCTTTTAGGACATGTTCATATCTTTAGGACGTTTGGCTTAAATTACACAGACAATTGTCTAGGACATTACTTTTTATAAGATTTATATATTGAATGTATGTCTCTTTCGAATAATACAGTCCATTGGTTTATAACATACAGGTCGGTTAACAGCAAAAAGTGACGTTTATAGCTTCGGAGTTGTGTTGCTCGAACTGTTATGTGGTCGTCGTGCTGTTGAAAGTTCTAAACAAGGTTCAGCAGAGCAGTATCTGGTGGAGTGGGTGAAACCATATATGGAGGACAAGAGGAAGCTGTTTAGGATCATGGACACTAAATTGGGAGGGCAGTACCCTCAAAAAGGAGCAATCAGTGCTGCTAGCCTTGCTCAGCGGTGTCTATGCCCAGAACATAAGCTTAGGCCAAGTATGTCTCAAGTTTTAGATGAGCTTGAACTAGTCCAAGCCCCGAAAAACTCTCCTAAGCTCTCCCAGCCAGACCATCAAACCAAAACTCGCAATGTGTAAAGTGCGGGGAATACGTAGCACACGTGAGCCTCTCCACATTGAGTTTAGGCATAAGAAAACAAATGTGTGGTTTGATGATTTGTTATACCTTTTTGAGAAAAACTTTCATTTTTGTCAAACCGAAATCAGACCATCAAATTGGAATGGAGAGAGTAGTTCATATTTACAATTGCCTATCACCCGTCCTAAGATCGCCACTGTTGCCACTGGACCTTCAGTGTGCCAACCACATGCATGACACCAATGCCCTAACCCTTCTGCCATCTTCGCGAGTCCACGTCTGTCCGCCGCCAAACCTCCATCATGCTGCCTAGCTCTATCGCCATCTTTGACAATGCCACTACAACTTTGTATATCTAGGCTGTTATTGATGGTTAACATTTTGATGGTTAACCATAGCTAAACATTTTGTGGATGGTTAACCTTCAGCTATCACCTCAAGATCTTTGTGGTTGGTTAAACGCAGAACTAAACATTTTTTCTCTTAATTACATAAAAATGTCACAAAATTGAAAATAGTGTTTGTGAAGTCAATATTTAAAAATAAAATAAAATGAATAATATCAATATTTTAGGAAAAAGGTATCACAATGCCAATTCAATTTATCAATACTGTCATCAAATTTTATTTGAGTATGGGAGTATATATATATATTGTTATTTATTAAGTAGTACTCTTTTCTATTTTAGGCTTTGGCTATGTTTGGCATGCATAAGTCCCTGACTTCTAGCTTTTATACTATTTAAAAAGTCTTTAAAAGCTTCTATTTGTATGTTTGGCATGCCAATTTTTAAGAGCTTTTATAAAAATAAAAGATCTTTTTTGAGATGCTACAGTGGGTAGCATCTCAGATAAGTCAGTAGCTTCTAGTATTAATTAGTCTTAACAGCTTGTATACCAAACAGAGCTAAATCAAACAGTCAGCTTTTTACCAAACAGGTACTACCTTTTCTTTTTAAGATCTTTTCAGCCACTAAAATCTAACAGTTAGTAAAAAGCTTATAAAAGTATCTTTTCAGCTAGTTGTGCCAAACATACCCTTTGTATGAAAACACTACTCATAAGTGTTTTTGAACTTTTTAAATTGATTATAGAAAGTGTTTAATAGTAAAAGTTGATAGTGTGTGAGAAAAAAATGATTTCTAAAAGTTAAAGTTGATAGTGTTTGATAAAATGACTACTTTTTATGCAATAGAAAAAGTAAAAAGCACATTTTAGCTTTTAGCTTTAAAGTATTAATTAAAGTATAAGTTGTCACTTGAAAACATTTTTTTTTGTTTTTTATGCGAAAAGCTTGGAAGCGTTTTTTTAAGTGTTTGCAAATGGTGCCTTGGTTCGAGCAGGCACAATTGTTTTACTTTTAGAATTTTTGGTTGAGACATTTGAATACTTTTCTTTGTGGTAACTTGATGGAGACTTGTGAGTGGTGAATTGAATGACAATAGTACTAATTCGATCTTTTGAATTTACCCGTTTGGTGGTTAGCGAATCAATTTGCTTTTTATGCGTGATTGATTATGTGTCTAATCGTAGGGTGTGCGATCGTAATTGTGATAGTTGTTTGTATATTTGTTCCCATTTTCTTATTTTTTAAAATAAGTCTTTTATCATAAAAAGTAAGGATATTTGCAATTTTAGTCCTGCATATAACTTTCGGCTGTTATTGTTATAACTTTAATGACTTGCAAATTTGGTTATGTAAGTAATAAATCTTTTTAATTTAAGAACTTTTCCACCGGAAAGTACCCTTTCTGGCATAAAAGTCCGACGCCGACGACATCTTTTCCGGCATACTATTGGTAGAAAGTGTACTTTTTCGGGAAAAAGTCATTAAATTGAAAATATTAATTAGTTACAGGACCAAATTTGCAAGTCACTAAAGTTACGGGCCCAATAATGAAAACACTTGAAAGTTACGGGATGAAAATTGCAAATTTCTCTACAATCCAGACACAAACAATCCAAGAACAAGGTAAGTTGTCTAATGAAATGAAAATAAAACTTGAAATACAAATACAGTAAAAGACAACAAGTGACCAAATCAAACATTGAAACGTCTTCTTCAAAACCCTAAACTCTCATTCATTACACAGTGGCGATTCAACAGGGGGACAGAACATCAATAGTTCATCAACCTCTTCTCTTCCTCCAACCCTAATCGGTCGCCTGCCTGTTTGAGAGTATCCAACCTTCCCTGTTCCTTCTCCATGTTGAGCCTCGTTGCGCCACTCGACGCCCTTTTCTCATTGATCTCATTGCCCGTCCCAATCCCCCCCACCTCACCCTTCTCGCTGCTCAACTCTTTTGCTACTGAGTCCCTTCAAGATCAAGAAATGCCGACGATGTAATGACTGCGGCACCAAAACTAGGGGAGAGCAAACCCGACCCTACCCGATTGACCCGATCGGATATATCCGATTTTTTGTTGGGGTCAGAAAACCCGACCCGAAATACCCAAACCCGATCCGATTTTTGCAATCCGAGACTTAAGCGGGTAGCGGGTAGAATTACCAATTATGCTACCCGACCCGCCCGAAAAACCAAACTAGCATAGTATATATACTACTTTAAATTATTATGCATGTTCGAATATCTCAATTATTATATGTCAATTACCATATTATGCATGTTCAAATATTCCAATTACCGTATTAGAACAACTATAACTTTGAATGTTGTATTGTAATGACTTTGAATGATATTTTGACCAATTATCATTTTATTTATCATAATATCAATTATGTCAATCACCGTATATTATTATTTTACATGTTCAAATATGTCGATTACCGTATTTATACAACTATTACTTTGAATGATATACTAGTATAACTTTGAATGATATTTTTACCAGTTACCATTTTATGTATCACAATTTCAACAATAATAAATTAAAATCCGAATGGACCTAAAATTATCAATCTGATACCCGAACAGGTTTATCATTTTTGAACCCGACCCGTGCTCTGCCCTAACCAAAACCATAAACCCTTCCGCCCTACTTAGTTATTTAAAAAAAAACTATTTTGTCATTAACTATCTAATTATTGCACTTAATTATAAAATATACTAATACATTTTGGAAGTCTTTCATTAGAATAGTCTTATAACTTGGTACCTACTTTTTTTCAATTAAATAAAGCTTACAACAACAACATTCAAGTCTTAATCCCAAAAGAATTTGGGGTCGGCTAACATAAATAGATCCATGATATTGGTGCGAAAAAGAGAAGAAAGATTAAGGGAAAAAAGGCAAGATAAAATGGATAAGATAACAATAACATACAAATATAAGAAAGATGAAAGATAAAAAGATAAAAGAACATAGAAAGAATAGAAGATGAGAATAACATAAGAATAAATGAATGTGCGCCCTCCACTTTGCCCTCAATATCAGTTCTGATTCCTCTAATTCAAGTATGTTTGGGTCTTCCACTTCCTCTCCTCCCGCCTCTCATGTCGTCTAACAAGTGCATCACTCGGTCTTCTACGCACATGACCAAACAACCACAAACGAGACTCCTGCATGTTATCTTCTATAGGTGTTGCTCTCACCTTTTGTCTGATTATGTCATTCCTCAAGTGTTCTTTTCTGGTATGTCCACACATCCTACGCAACATACGCATCTCTTCAACACTCATCTTATGAATGTGACATTGTTTCACTGTCCAACACTCCACACCATCCATTAATACAAGCCTAATTGTTGTTCGATAAAATTTACCCTTCAGACTTGTCAGCATACCTCGCTCACATATAAATCGTGATGCATTCTTCCATTGCATCCACTCAGCTTGATCTCTGATTCTATGGGATACATCTACATCTAATTCATCATCCTTCTGAATTATGGAGCCCAAGTAACAGAACATATCACACACATGTATCTCCTTACCATCAAGAGTAATCTCACTGTTACTACAACTCTTACCTCCACCAAACTTGCACTCCATATACTCAGTCTTGCTTCGGCTCAGTCTGGAACCCTTGGTCTCCAATGTTTGTCGACATACTTCAAACTTTGCTTTAACACCCGATTGCGTCTCATCAATGTGGAAATGGAAAATTGAAGCAAAAATAAATCGGATTGGAATCGGAACAACTGAAATTCGGAACCGTGAACTGGTAGCTGGGTACTGGTTCCAATTCAAAACTCGGATAGATTTGTATATGTTCCAAAAGAATTGGCTCCAAGAATCATAACCACGGTTCTAAAAATCTCTTTAGGTACCTGACTAATCCCTAGTTGAATTATTTGCCCGTACTCGGCGCTTACTTGCCCCCGCCTAGAGTGACTAATCGGCCGCCTAAGGCGTCTAGATTCACTGACTTTTTCTAGGAGATATATGCACACTTAACTTTAACCACAAATATCAAAAAAGTTATATGTTGATTAAGATAAAGTCTATGAGCATGTTTGGTAGGCATAAGTCCCTACCTTTCTAACTTTTGTAGTATTTAAAAAGTTTCTAAAAGCTTCTAGTTGAATGTTTGTCATGACAATTTTTAAAAAACATGTAATGAAAAACATGTAAAGTTAAGTATGTAATTAAAAACTAATAGGATTAAATTGCAAATACTTAGCCTTTTGTTGAGTAGGGCATCCAAATTCATGAGATTATTTGGAGATCATCTTGATGATGTGGAAGATCTTTTTTAAGTTTATGGCTGAGGAGATGAGATTATTGTGAAAGATTATTTAGATAAAAAACCTGGTGTTGAATATTGAATTCTAGATTATTCAAGATTATTTTCAAGTTTCAATAAACACATTTAACGCAACGATGTCTTTTAATTTGAAATGACTAAAATACTAGCTCATTGAAAATAACAAAATGTTCCATAAAAAACTAAATGAAAAGAGATCATGATTGAACGATAATTAGTAAATTTTGATTTTATTTATGACAATAACATAACAAGAAAAAGACATAAAAAATCGGATATGTAAAAGGGGTTTTGCCATAAATATTACCAAAAGGGGATACTTGACAAAAAAGTGGTCATTTTCTAAAATTTCCATAAATGTGATTAGTAATTTTTAAGCTTACAAAATTATCCCTAATTTGCAGTTACTTTATCTTATAGTTACATGACCGGCCATAGTGACACCCACCACAGTGACACCACCTGCCGCCAACTAGGGATCGCCGGCCACCGGTGATCGTTGCCAGTCACAGTGACACCTAGATAATGATACTAGCTTCCACAGTGACACTGGTTACAACAACTCCGGCCACAATTACACCATCTACAGTTACTCCGGCCACCACCAGCCTACACCACCACCAGCCACCGACCTCAAACTCAATTCTCAACCCGAACCCCCAACCTACAGCTCGTCATCACTGTCATAACCGCCGCCGCCGCCCAATGATAATGACATTTGAAATGCCAGTGACACCATCGTGACTTGGACACCGCCCCCATCCCACCGCCACCACTCATTCCCACCGGTACCACGGCCTCACCCCCGGTGACACCACCACTACCTTCTGGCCCCTCCCACCCCAGCCC